TTGTGCCACCCTACATCCGGCAAACAAAACAAGGGCCACCGCATTAAACGGCGACCGGGCATCCGTAGTACGTGGCCAATGCGGCACAATAGTCGAGGAGTTTTCCACCTTTAACTAAAGTGTATAATGATGATGAGTATGTGCCCAAGCAAACGTGATCCGTTCAGTGCCATCCGTCGATCTAAAGAACCAGCCTGATAATCACTGCTTAACGTTCGCCTACGCACATCGTCGTTGCGGACATCCTGGTGCCACCGGAAATGCCTCGCAGACAGCGATGAAGGCGCCTCAGACCGAAACAGCAATCTCACTTATATAAAGTAGGACCTTTTAAACACGGCACTTCAAGTTGAGGGAAATCCCTTCTAACGTCATAGATACAGGAAGGCAGTTCTAGCTTTTGCATAACCTGAACTGAATTAAGTGTATACACGCACATCGTTGCTGATGCAGCTGCCAAGTGAATTGATCAACTACCGTGAGTTCCTCGCTATCAAAGGTTGAGTACGTGGCTGGTAGTCCTGAAGCAACACTGCACTATGTGAAGCGCATGCCAAATGATGGGACCACTCAACGGTTGACCGGGAAGCAACATCGATAAACAGCAAGACAGTAGTGTTGACATAATCAAATAAACGCCGCAAAACAAGTTGTAAAGCGGTAGCAGCGTAGCTAATCTTACTCATGAGAACCTACTTGGTAGCCAACGTCTTGGACCTTACGGTGATGCGACGGTATGGGCACCTCTGACCCAATGTGCTATACTGTGTGGCGTTCCGGGGACCATTCAGAGCTACTCCTACCAGATTGGAAAACGGTAAGAGATCAGACGGTTTGCGTACCACTTTAACCTATTGAGCTATACTGGGGGTGACTCCGGGCCCCTTGAGATATTCATTCCAACTTGGTTAATGGTTAAAGGTCAGACAAACTCAATCTCCAGGTTGGGGGTTTGGAATGGGATAGTGCCCGTTTCTGTAAAACTAAATCGTTGGCAAACTCACCTCGCTGCCCTGCGGACAGGCTTTTGAGCCAAGGGCTTTGGTTGAGGACTCTAATTATCCTGTCCACGTCTGGGCGCCCTGGCAGTATCTCGGCCAATGTCAGTTTCTTCAAACCAAAAACATCCTGCATCTGTCGTCGCGCAGATTAGCTAGGGTCACCTTGTCTGCTGCAATCGGCACGGCGGATAAGCGAAAACATGCTACTGCTGGTGCTTCCATCGTTTTCCACCTGTTTCTACGAGTCCCCTCCCAGTCTCCATTACTAGCCTTCCATATTTCCTGGCCTAATTGACAACAGCTGCAATGCCACTGGAATCACATAACAAACTGGACGCCTATCAGCAACTGTGCCTTATAAGGCCACGCTGTCCCATTTCCTTAGCGGCGTTCAACATTCGCACCCCAAGGCAAATTGGTCAACGGACTTCATTCGCACGCACGTTGGACGCACTGGGTATTGACGTGTGTCCCATATCCTGAACTAAGACCAATGACCATCACGGGGTTGTTGAATTAACTGCGCCCGGCTTGTTCTCTCGCTTGTGGCTGCACGCATCCGGAGACACTGATGCGACAAGTGCTGATCAAACTGGGGTAAGTATCATTCTAACCTCCAAGGCTGAGCCATCGTTTGTGGATTGGATTCCGGTTAACAGCCGTTTGACGACATCGACCAAGGTTCATTCACAAAGTAGTATAAAACGCTGTTTGTTTGTTATCTCCGCTTATGCTCCCACCGACTGCAACTTTCTAATGCTGTCAAATACACATTCTATCACGGACTAAACGCGTTACTACGCAATGCTACTATTTAAGATATACTAGTACTTGCAGGGGATACGAACACACAAGCAGGGCGTATGAGCTCTTCAGAAGTTCAGCTGGGTGGTAATTACGGGCTTAACTCCCAACGGACTGACAACGGTGAGCGTCTGTTGCAACTGTGTGCTTAGCACTAGTTGTTTCTTAGTAGCACCGCTTTTTGACGCAATGGGCGCTGATGTGCCACTTGGCGTCCTCCTGTAGCTGGCCGAGGGTGGACCCGAATTGATCACATTGCCATAAGTTACAGGTGGAGTGCTTCCCTCCTGGATTGCTGCTCGTTCTGGAATATCTACATTAACTCTGATCATGCTTTGGTACGCTGTCATTTCTGCATAAACTTTACCTGAAGGCGCACTGAGCGTTTGTCACGATTGGCAACTGAGAAGTTACCACAGCTTTCGGTCACGCAGACCTACCAGGATACACTGCGTGCCGAACTTTTGCTATCTGGTCCTAAATGACACAGCTTCAGTGGAACAGGAACTCGGCTGCCATGCGCGACGCAAGAACATCTGCTTGTGGTAGTATCAATCGGTTCCGCCCGAGTCAACATATATCCGAGACAACGATGAACCTGTTGGAATCCGGAAATATACACCAGGCTGGCTCTGGGCAAAAAGCAACTACGTGGACTATTGGGAATGAACTAAAGCAGGACCTGCACGCAGACAAAGAAGCCTAGTGAACCGGTCAGATCTAAGAAATGGAGGAGGCAGGAGCAAACTCTACCATTTGAGCCGCACTACTGATCCCAGGAAACCAGGAGTCAGTGAGAATATCAGACAGCGCAGGTGCCATGATTCACAATCAGGAGAGTGGTATGGATCGCAGGGCGAAGCACTTTCGAAATCAGTTCAGTTGGCGCCGTTCCCGGACTTCTTCCTATTCGGGTGATGCAGGACGGTTAGTTTAGAACCTCTATCGGAGGCGGAAGTACGAAACGCGATCACAGCCCTCAATCGCTTTCGTGATGCTGGCCCGGAATCCCTTCGATCTGAACTATTTAAGGATGGAGGTGAGATCCTCTGCAAAGTCCTGTTCTACCTATTCGAACATATCTGGAAGGAAGTGTCCTAGCTAACTGGAGTGAATCGATTATAGTGTCAACATACAAGAAGGGTTGTCGCACAGACTGTACTAACCACAGGGGTATTAGCGTAACGCCAGTTGTGACAAAACTACTGGCCTCAATTCTCGTTCTTCGCCTCACTAAGAAATAGGAATCCCGGATTAGGAAAAAGCAGGCAGATTTTCGCCCAAAACGGGGCTGTATATACCACTCTTCATCACCATTCATCTCCATTGATCTCCATCATCATTCATCATTATACACGTTAGCTATAGGTGGGAAACACCTCAGCTATTGTGCTGCATTCACTCTGTGGCAGGTGATACAGCAGCGCCACGCGCACTGCAGACCGAAAACAACTGTGCTCCTCGACTTTAACAATGTGTTTGATTCAGTCGATAGAGGCATGCCGTTTGATATACTTGTGCAGAAAAGTGTTCCCATAAAGAAATTTGACATTTTACATGCCCGTACTCGAACACCACAGGCTGCGGCAGAGTGTACGACGACCTGCCGAGTATCTTCTCGACAACAAGGGGCGTTCATCAGGGTTGTATGATTCCCCCATTTTTGTTCAGCTTCGTCGTGGACTGCAGCATGGAGTGTTCCCTTGCGGAGTCTTACAGTGCAGGCGTTGAGATGAAAAGCTCGTTGACCTTGATTATGTGGAAGATATTGCCTTACTGTCTAAAGATGCTGGGACGGCCCAATAAACCCTGAATAACCGCTCTAGAGTAGCCTCATCATTTGTTATGCACTTCGCACCTTCAAAGTGCCAAGTGTTGTTGCAGGACCACCAGCCACTTGATGACTCCTTGACCCCTAAGAGCGAGGAACTTGAATTGATCAAACCACTTACCTCAGCAGCCGCCTCAGCAACGATTGACACGTATGCACTTAAGTCAGTTCACGTACTGCAAACTGCATTCTTGAATCTGAGACGTCTTCGGTGTGAGAAAGGAGTTTCCCTTCATCTCAGACGCCCTGCCTACAAAGCTACAATGAGGGGCGTGCTTCTTTATGGGAATAAGGTGCCTTTGAGTCTGATCATCGATATCTGCGAAGCATTTCTGGTATGGAGTGACACCAGCATGCCTGCAACAATGATGTGCGTAAACCAATGCTAGACCGTGTTAATCAAGCTAGTACCTTAGAACATGTAGCACTGGATAAGTGGCGTTGGCTTGGGCACGTACTACGTATGCCCGGTCACCGTTCACCGGAGAGGGCTTTGTTTTGCTTGCCAGATGCAGGGTGACGCAAGACTCGAGGTGGACAAGATTAACTTGACAGGGGAAATGGAGTCACTGACGACTAAACAGAATGCAATTGGTCCATCCCGCTTTCCAGATTGGAGTCCACGTGACTCGCCTTGTGCATGGCGTGAGACTTTACAAGACATGGCTCGCAGTCGACAACAGTGGCGCGTCTGCTGTTGACTCCTTTTCGGACTGCCTGATTAAAGTGTGTTTGGTGTTAGGTTATCTGATGAGTAATAGCTGATTATGACGCAGGGAAGTCAGAGCCGCAAGGAAGGTGTCTCGCTTATGCGGTCTTTGCAAGATAGCCGGCTGCTTGCGACGGTCTCTTGTTGACAAGGTGTAGGCGTCTTGACTCTGAATGTTTGTTTAGAGCATTGTTTTCCGTTAAGTTCCCTTTCTCACTGTCTAATTACTACACTTTTTGTAAATCTAGTTGTATGGCAGCGTAGCATAAGTTCTAGTGGTTGATGTGTTGTTGATGATGGTAGCCAACAGAAGAGAATTAGTAGGTAGTGAGCTTTAGCATAAGAGAAATCTTAGGGAGTTGCCTGGATAATCGGCAAGCGACACATTCGGAGTGAAAAGGTCCAACCAGAAACGTACGTATTGTAGTTCACCAAGAAAAATTAAAAAAAACAAAAAAATAAACAAACGCAAAAATGCTTAACATATCTAGTGACCAACTCATCGGACTAATGTGTCCCTACTGTTGCTTTGAATGTATCGAAATAGCTACCTACCCGACTTGGATAAAAAAGTAACAAATCAGAGAAACCCTGAAACGAACTATGCAGAAACTGGTTAACTTCCCAAGGAAACAATGAGGACAAAGTGGCGTACCTTTAAAATGTCCTCCAAAGTGTTCGGCCAGAAATCCCCTTCAAAGTAGGGTATTTCCGTGGGTGAAACCAACTGGTGGTCTAGGGCATCCTTCAAAATGTTCTTATAGTCAACGACAATCCCCTCGATGATGGCCTTCTGCAGCATCCGCCGATACCATTCCTGCAGCCGCTTCGCTTTAGGGATCTTCTGTTCTGCTGGGTGCATGTGAAAGATATAATCGTCCCCTTCGCCTGGTGGGCATGCCCAAATATGGGCCATAGTGTATCCACAGCGTTTGGCGTATAGTAAATATCCAACGAGGATCTCGTGATACACATCAGTCCGATATTGCTTGGGACGAAAGAAGAACACAGAATCCAAATAGGCTACGTAAACTCGGCGCCGATTCGGTTGAGGGCTTTCGGATCCGTATTCCTGAACGTAAAGTCCAAAGAAACAAACATCCTGTCCATCGATCTCTTGGAAGGCAAAGACAGCTTTGAGTCTATATGGAAATGATTCGGACAGCTCCCCACTTTCGGTAAAACGTGCGCGCATCAAAGGTTTAACCTCCACAGTCTTATCAGAGCTGGCTAATACACGGATAGTGACTTCGCCCGTTCCAACTTCTTTCTTTTTCAAAAAATCGTTCACACGTTTCTCCAAAAATGCACTGAGGCGTGTGACAGGAAGTTTGCGGGCGGTAAAGCGGTTCTCTTTGCGTTTAAGACCGCGCTCCCGTAGACAACCCTGGCATACGAATCCGGTAGGCCATATTTCATTCATATGCAAAGCACACACTTTGTGCCAACGGCGCCCGCATTCGTTGCAAGTAACATACTCTTCCTTCTCCTTTACATTGTTTTTTCTTTTCTCAAACAAATCTTTGGAGATCGGCCTGAAAGATGTGACCAATTAGATAAGGGACCTTACACAGACTGATTTGGTTCATCGGCTAGTATTACGACATCTCCAGCCTCATTGAAGCACTTCTCGCACTGATAGTATTTGTCGCAGACAAGCCCAGTCGTTTGTTTGTCGCTGAAAGAAAGTAGATCATAGAATGATCACGTTACTTATTGAGGTAAACGTAGTAGTTGGCATCTTTGCTGATAGTGCAGAGATTAGCAGACGCACAGTAGAGGCCCTGAGGCTGATATTCATAATCCTGGCCACAACAAAATCCCATCGTCTGCATTATTTGGTCGATCCTACTTTGGAATAGTTCAGCAAGCTGAAACAGGAACATGAAGAAAGTAACACACATACCTTGGTACACATTTTGTACACCTTTGAAGTCTTTTTATTGTACAACCAAGCATTGTTGAACATAAGCCGGAAGTGTTCCACAACCTCCCATGGATCATTATACTTTCCATCCTCAAGATTGTTACGGATAGTAGTAAGGTCCATGGGTTCTTTAATGACTTGAAAGTAATCAGGAATGTGAAGCATCACAGGATCCACAGGAGCTCTAAACGGTTCCGCATACTTGTCATTGAAAATCTCTTCGAGTAACTGTAAGAAATGGCGCAGTAGTTCCTCCCTTGACCAGCGCTTCCACTTAGCCTCGTCGGGTTTCACGGATATTGACAAACTGGAGGTTGAAGAGAGGGAAGTGGGATGCATGGCAAATGAATCATTAGATGCTGTGGTTTCGTTTTGCACAGAAACCCCCTCACTCTTGACTTCCGTGTTATCTGGTTCAGAGTTGGTAGGTGTTGGGTCTGGAAGGGCCGTATTAGAACCAGAAACTGCCAGCGACGTATCAGAGTTAAATTTTGGCTGTGTAAAAGAGGCCAGAGAGACGGAGGGTGTAGAGGATGTATTGGAGAGTGGTTCCGAAGCACCCGCTTCGCATTTAAATCGGCCCCGGTTGTATGCATTCTGCAGATAATGTTCAAATCGAGACATGTCGTTTTCGGAACCACTAGTGTCTTGTGAACTGAACGAACCGATCTCAAATCCATCGGACACGGAACTAGAGGGAATACCATTTGCAACCACTGCTCCTACCGATTTGCCAGATGTAGGGGCGGGAGTGGAGGAAAGCGATGGGGAGGGCAAGGCCAACTGGGATGAAAGTGCAGACAAACTTTGGCTGAACTTCGATGACCTTGATGGGCTGGAAGAGGCAGAGCTATGGACAGTAGAAGCAGCTGTCGTTGAATCCGAACCCGACTGTCGACTTTTACGTTTTTCCTCGAGTTCGCGATGAATTTTATAACATTTCTGAGCGAGGAGATGGAAATAATGATCCATGTCGGTTGCAGTGCTGTACATTTCCCGTTCTACTTTTCGGGCGTATTCAATGAGATTTCGCATCCTCGGGTCGTTGTAAGCAGCAGGATCGGGGAAAGGGAATATGAACCGAACTCTACAAAGGCAAGAATAAGAAGTAATGAGGGTAGTATTCTTAGAGTCAACTTGAGTGACATTGTATAGCGCATCAGTGGCGACAAAGTGGACTAAGACACCTAGCGAAGATTAAAGATTAAGTGCAAAGAGCTAAAAACGAAAGATGCTTGGGAACTAGGTGCCAGCATTCACGAAGTTAGAGAGCAAATAACAAGTGACATGGAGAAGACGGTTGCAATACAATAGTAAACTAAGCAATGAACGTAAACCGATCAGTAGGATAAAGTGAACATTTCTAGCGGAACAGCAGTGACAACAAGTAGTCCCAGACAATGCGTGATGCGAGACGCTCAAGCCGAAGAATAGGCTTGCGCGCTTTGATTAAATAATCGCAGAGTCCGGCAGATGGTACGCCAATCTAGCACTGTGATAAAACTTCAACAGTCACTGAGGGTAATCGCAGTCCAGGAGGTGGCTGAAAGTTGGCTTTAGCTCCTAACTCAGTAACCTGTTCTTGGACACCTTACCACAAGATAGGGTAACTGCATGCGTTGTAGCGGAAAATGGAAGTGAAGTAAGTCCGATAAGACCTACAGGAAAAGCTAGGTAACAAAGTACTGGTGCAGACGCTGCAGTGTCAAAGAACACCAGTAGCACCGCACATAATACGAAATGCCGCTTGGCTCATTTTAAAAAGAAATTCCAGTCTATGAATCATTTCATGGTCATATGGGGGAAGTGGCGGACTCAGTGAACTAGGGTGAATAAACGGCCAAATCACTCGATTACTAAAAACGGCGACGATGCCCATTACTCGAAAGCTGATCCAGGTTTTCCGACATAGTTAAAAAGAGACTATTACAAGTTTATCATTATTACACGTGGGCCAAAGGTCAGAAACACTTTAGCTATCGTGCCACAATACAGAGTGTAAAAAGTGAGATACTAAGCGTTATGAAGCACAAAAAACCAAAAGCAAGTAATAAAACGCTTAGTATCATATTAGGCAAAAAGTATGAGCTCGTGACTAAAGAGAGAGGTGAAGGAGAAGAGGGACAGGCAAAGAAACAGACAATACAAAAGCCAATGAGACTAGCGATTCGCCACGTCAACAAGTGTACCAAGCCAAGTGGGTTTATCGTCCACAGAACACCAGCTTGGCAGTCGAGAGGTACCAACCGACGACAAAGTAGAAAGGGAGGTCTCATTTCTTCTTGACCATGTCATCGCCTGACCTCTCCTCCTCCTCCATCTACGCCCCGGGCGCGCAAACAACGCACGTCGCGGAAGTCGGTGTGCTAGCGTGCGCGCCACATGGCCCAGCCATCGGAGCCTGGTACGTGACATAACGGTGCTGAGTGGTTCACCCGCTCTTCCTACACCTAACACAACACTGAACACGCTCATTGCTCATGCGGTGCTCCCACCAGACATGAGCTAAGCTATGAAGGCAGTGAAAGGTTAACGTAACTAGCCTATTTATGCCTGTCCATTTAAAGAACCAGTTTTCATAAAAGCACAGGAGTGTTGAACGGAGGACTGTATTGCTAAATCTTCTCTTCAGGGCGAAAGATGTCGCATCGGTGCAGCATGTGGTGGAGATTAGAAAAACCACTTCGAGCGATACGGTTTGTGACCTTGTGCACTCCACAGTCGTTCATACAGTTGTTAAGTAATTAAATTTCTTAGCGACCGTCAATCGATCATCACAAAGGATCAGTGCAGAAATTGGGACTTGCAAATATTGCAGGACGTTGCATTTCGAGGATGCAAAGCACAGCCATTGCTAATTTGTTTGGTGCCACTTGGCTGGTACGTGAGCTGTATCACGTCGTTGCCGTGCTCGTAGTCAAAACGCTGATCACCTGGGAGAACTCATTAATGGCGAAATTAAAAAAGAGAGGCTACAACGGGCCTTTTTGTCCCACACGGCTAGAGATAGCTGAAGGGCGGCAATAGTTTGCGACAAAATCATTCTACCGAAATACGCGTGTACTGTGCATTGAGATTTACCTAATTTTCGAGCAGACAGTCCCAAGGGCAAGTGCAAGCAGGATGACAGGCAATAGAAATCAGATTAGTCCCTTTATGGTTGCCTTCCTTGAAAATTGAGACTATAACGGAACGGCTCCATTCTGTTGGGACAGTTTTCTGCTTCCACAGCTTCAGCAGTTAATTGTGCAAACCATCCACAGCAGTTGGTGGTACCGATTCGAAGATGGATGAAGAAAGTCTATCTGTTCATGCAGTCTGGATGGCTTGTCGAACAGCCTCCTCTTGGTGTCAGCTAGGTGGTTCGGGATTCCCCCATTCCTGTCAATGGTTCGGCGGCAGTGTTAAGGACTTGATGCATTTTCGCGCGGCAATCTCCCTATAAAAAGCCACATTCCTGCTTAACAGCACTGCGAGGTGGCGGATGACTCGCCCTTTGCTGATATCGTGGGGAGGATTGAGCAACTGTTTTGTGACCGATCAAAGGAAAAGTGTATGAACTGAGCAATCAATTACCGGCTCTTAATGGGCGCGATTTCCTGAATTTGCCCTGCTGCATTACGGGTGAGCTATTTAGCCAAAGGCTCGATGTAGGGTCTGCTAAGACAATGCCCAACATCGGCCAGGGCAACCGCATAGTATCATGCCCACTGACAAAAACCAAGGACTGTCCTACAACGTGCTCCTTTGCTGCTATTTCTCTTTATATTCACGCGACTTTATCACACGCCACTTGTTTGTTTGCTAACAATTCTTATTTTGCGTTATCTGATTCCGGTGTTCATGAAGCAGTCCGCGATTCCGGTTGCGCCCCAAACCATTGCTCACCTTCGACCCCTATCCTTGTTCCGTCTGGAGTGCTTCAACGTCATGCAGGACGGTCTAAAGTGCACCCAAGAGCTCATTGATGTTGCTGCCTGCTGCCTCTCAGAAATCTGATTTCAAGACCACAGCACTGTGCTTAAGCTGACATCCACCACTAACCACAAAGCCAGATATCACCTGCCTCTTTCTGGAGATACAGAAGCAGCCTCAGCTGGTTTGAATGGTGTAGATATAGTACTACGTAGCAACGTCGAGGCGGCACTACTGTGCTGTGTACTGTTCGGCTTCGGGGTTCATGTTGAATCAACTAATGTCGCGAGGAGAGACGCAACCTGTTTGTGATCTCCGCGTACGTTCCAACTGATTGCAGTAAGGGGCTCGGTCAAGGAAGACTTATATCGGGAGCTACATCAGCTGTTGACTAGTGCTAAAATGTCGGATATCGTTGTCCTTTCTGGGGATTTCAATGCATGGGTTGGCCGTCTGTTACCATCCGAACGACATCTTGGGAATCACCACGCGCTCGATGAGGACCGCACTGATAACGAAGGGAGGCTTCTCAAATTATGCGAAGACAACCATCTGTTTCTCTCGAGCACTAACCACAGGCGTACGAAGAAGCGTTCCGCAACGTGGCGTCCCCCTTCGCCAAGACGACCGTGGTCTCAAAATGATCGCATTGCAAGCAACTTCAGATTGGAGGTCTTTTTGGTCAACTTGCATCGATTGGGGTCTTGCAATATTCTGTGGGAACATCTGCATATTTTTGAGGGTCCCGGAAAACAAAGCACCGTAAGGTTGATGCAAACCGATTAACTGATTCCTCGGTCCAGGCGAGCTATCAGTCTTCACTGGCATACGCACTCAGTTGAAATCTACGGCAAGACATCGAGCAAGTGGTGTGCATGTGCACTTGGCCAATAAACAACTGGCAGAGTGCCACAACACATGATCTCTGTTCGCTTTCTGGAGCTGCCCGACGACCGCAGATACTTTGGTAGAATCAGGTAGCAACGAGTGGCGCCGCTCTGCCAACCGGCTGCTCAAGCAAAACCAGCGCAAAGATTGCGAAACATGGTAGTTAAAGCGTGTTTCAAGGATGGAGACCGCGGCCCTCTCTGGCAACACTAGCAGGCTTTTCCGATTCATTCGGTCCACGGGTCTCAGAAACCCAGGTGTCAGTCACGTTATTTGCGAGGTGGATGGGTCTCCGATCACCAGGCAATAGAGATGTTTGAACCAATGGGCTGAGCACTTTCATCAGTAATTCAACTGGCATCCACCGGCCATCAGTGCACACAGTACACCTTGTTGTCTACTGGCTCGTCCCATTGCATCCATCCAGAGAAGTCCGCCTCGGGATTCGACGCTTGAAGCGATTCAAGGCTGCTAGCTCGGACGAACTTTCACCGGAGCTCTTCAGATACAGCGGCGTGCCAAGAATTAACCAGCTGAATCCGTTGTTCGCGAAAACTTGGCATGAAGTGTCTTCCAGCTGGAGCGAATCAGTTATTGTCCAGACTTTCAAGGTGATCGCACATCGTGTATCGCGAAATAGTCTTATATCAGTTGTCACCAAGCTATTGGTATCCATTCTGCTTCATAGACTATCCCCAGTACTTGAATCATACTACCGTGAAGAAAAAACTGGTTTCTGTCCGAGCCGTGAATGAGTGGATCAAATTTTTACGCTCCGCCAACTCCTCGAACATCGCGACATATACCATAGGAGCACTAACATTGCGTTCTCAGACATACGACTCTGTTGTCGATTCGCTGTAGAAGGCTACTTGCCGAATTGGATGTCAGAGAAGTATACCGCCATCTCACGTGCACCTTACCTTCAAACCTTCGGTACAGTGAGAGTCTATAGCAACTCTTCGTCGCCCTTCGCTATCAATAGCTATGTGCGACAGGCTGCCCTATGTCCCCATTCCTCTACAACTTCGCAATCGTAGAGGTTCTGTCGAGTGCTTTAAAAGGTTTCCAAAATTTTGGTTTAGAGCTTCTACCGGGTAAGCGCGCGATCGACTTAGACTATGCTGATGATATCGTCTTACTTGGTGACGATCCTCAGGGTATGCAACTCATTCTGGATCGTTTGACGGCTGAAGCAACTAAGTATGGTATGAGCTTCGCCCCATCGAAGTATAGTGTCGCTTTAAAATGGGCATACACCTGCTCTCTTGAAGGTGCACAACT